TCTAGCACACATGGAATAGCCTCAAATATAAACCATATATTGGGACATAAAACTTCCTAAATAAATTTAAGAAGATTAAAATCATACTAAGTATATTCTCTGACCATAATGCTTTAAAATTGGAGATCGATTGAAAAGAAAAAGTGAGAAGAACCACAAAAATGTGAAGATTAAAACATGCTACTAAAGAAAGACTGGGTCATAGAAGAATTAAAAGGAGAGATCTAGAGAAACAAACAAGAATGAAAATACAATATATCAAAACACGACGAAAGCGGCAAAAAAAAAAAAAATTCATATCATTACAGGCCTATCTCAAGAAACAAAAATGATCTCCAAAAAACAACCTAATATTAAATCTTAAAAAGCTAGAAAATAAAAAAGAGCAAATGAAGCCCAAACTCAACAGAAGGAAGGAAATAAAAATTAGAGTAGAATTAAATAAAATTGAAAACAAAAAGACAATAGAAAGAAAATTAATACATCAAAGAGCTGGTTCTTTGAGAAGGTTAATAAAATTGACAAACCCCTAGCTAGACTTACCAAAAAGAAAAGAGAAAAGACACAAATAAACAAAAGCAGAAATGACACAAATAAACAAAATCAGAAATGAAATAAAGTTACAATAGATATCACTGAAATACAAAGGATCATAACAAGAGTACTATAAAAATTATATGATACCAAATTTAATAACCTAGAAGAAATGGAAAAGTTCTTAGAAATATTCAACCTTCCTAGACTGAATGATGAAGAACTGGAAAATCTAAATAGACTGAACAACAATAAGGAAATCGAAATCATCAAAATCCTTCCAAAAAAGAAAAGTCTGGGACCAGAAGGCTTCACCAGTGAATTCTACCAATCATTCAAAGATTTAACACCTATTCTTTTCAAATTTTTCCCCAAAATTGAAGAAGAGGCAGTACTTCCTATCTCTTTTTAGAAGCCAACATTGCTTTGATACCAAAACCTGGTAAATAACACAAAAATGGAAAACTATAGACCAATATCTTTCATGAACACAGATGTAAAAATTCTAAACAAAATACTAACAAATCAAATACAACAACTCCTTTAAAAGATTATACATCATTATCAAGTGGGGTTCATATCAGGGTCACAGAGATGGTTTATTATATACAAATTGATTAATGTGATATACCACATAAAATAAAGAATAAAAAAATCATATGATCATATCAATAGATGCAGAAAGCATGTGATAAGATACTACAGCATCCATTTATGATTAAAACACTTAATGAAATGGGAATAGAAGGAAGGTACCTCAATATAATAAAGGCCATATATGACAAACCCTCAGCTAACATCTTAATTAATGGAGAAAAGTTAAAAAAAACTTCCCTCTAAAATCAGGAACAAGACAAGGCTGTCAGCTATCACCACTATTATTCAAGTTAGCATTGGAAGTCCTAACTAGAGCAATCAGGCAAGAGAAAGATATAAAAGGCATCTAATTAGGAATGAAGGAGTCAAATTGTCACTTTTTGCAGATGACATGAATTCTTTATAGAAAACTCTAAACATTCCACTAAAAAAAACTATTAGAATAAACAAATACAGTAAAGTTTCAGGATACAGAATCAATGTTCAAAAATCCATAGCATTCCTATATGCTAACAATAAAATTTCAGAAAAAGAAATGAAAAAAAATCCTTTTTTAATTGCAACAAAAAGAATAAATATCTAGGAATAAACCTAACAAGTGAAGGACTTATACTGAAAACTATAAAACATTATTAAAAGAAATTGAAAAAGACACAAAGCTATGGAAAGATATTCCACGTTCAAGGATTGGAAGAATCAACATAGTTAAAATGACCTTATTATCTAAAGCATTACACAGATTTAATGCAATCCCAATCAAAATCCCATAGCGTTTTTAAAGAAATAGAACAACAAAAAAAAAACTACCAGATTTGTATGGAACCACAGAAGAGCCCAAATACCCAAGGCAATCCTGAGAAAAAAAGAACAAAGCCAGATGAATCACTTTGCCTGACTTCAAATTACACTACAGAGCGACAATGATTAAAACAGCACAGTATTGGCCAAAAAACAGACACACAGACCAAAAGAATAGAATTAAGAGTCCAGAATTAAACTCTCATATATATATGGGCAAATAATTTTCAACAAAGAAGCCAAAAACATATAATGGTGAGAGGAATGCCTCTTCAATAAATGGTCCTGGGAAAACTGGAAAGCCACATTCAAAAGAAGAAAACTAGACTTCTATCACCATACACCAAAATTAACTCAAAATGGATCAAAGACTTGAATATAAAACCATCAACAAGGCAAAGAAGCAAATATTTCTAATAGGATTATATATCTGCAAATACTGTCTCTGATAAGGGCCTAATATTCAAAATACACAAAGAACTCATATACCTCAACAACAAAAAAACAAACAATCCAATTAAAAAATGAGCAGAGGAACTGAACAGACACTTCCCCCAAGAAGACATATAAATGGCCAACAGACATAAAATGATCCTCAACTTCACTAGCTATTAGGAAAATGCAAATCAAAACCACCACCTCACACCTATTAGAATGATTATCATTAATAAGACAAGTAATAACAAGTGCTGGAGAGAGGTTATGGGGAAAAAGGAACCCTCCTACACTGCTAGTGGGAATAATAAATAGGTATATTCACTGTGGAAAACAGTATGGAGGTTCCTCAAAAAAAATAAGAATTGAATTACCATATGACCCAGCAAGCCTTCTTCTGGGTATTTACCCTAAAAACCTGAAAACATTTATCCAAAAAGATTTAGGCAGCCCAATGTTCATAGCAGCATTATACATGGTGGGCAGGACATAGAAGCAACTGAAGTATCATACGATAAATGATTGGATAAAAATGTGGTATGCATATACAATGAAATACTACTCAGCCATAAGAAAAGTTAAAATACTGCCATTTATGATAACACGGATAGATCTTGAGATAATTATGCTAAGTGAAATAAGTCAGACAGAAAAAGCTGAAAACCATATGATTTCACTCATATGTAGGATATAAAACTGAAAGCAACAAACATGAGAAACAAAAAATTCATAGACATGGAAAGGGGATTAGTGGTTATTTGAGGGAAGGTGGTGTGGGGGTAGGTGGATGTGGTAAGTGGGGTCAAATATTTGGTGATGGAAGGAAATCTAACTTTTGGTGGTGAACACAATATGCAATATATATGACATATTAAATTACATACTTGAGATGTATTTGATTTTATTAACCAATAACTTTAATTTAAAAAATGAAAAGGTCATTATATAATGATAAAGATGTCAATTCTTCAGGATGATACAGCAACCATAATATAAACACACATTGGAGCACCTAATATATTCAGCAAATACTAACAGACCTTAAGGAAGAAATTGACTGCAATACAATAAACGTAGGATACTTCAACATACCACTTTCAACAATGAAATAGGTAGATAATCCAGATAGAAAATCACAAGGAAATGTTGGATTTGAACCACCCTTTATATTAATTATACGTAAGAGATATATACAGAACATTTCTTCAGATTCCACTGAGAGAATCCTAGAACACAGGACTAAGACTAAAGTATACCCATGCATCACTGAGACACACTGCATTAGAATGGTAAGAGGAGTGGCAATACACTAACCACACTGTCCTTCCCACAGGCCAGCAGAACACCACATCGAGAGGTGTGCCCTGAGCCTACAGTTCCTCCTATAGGAATAGAGAGCTCAGGGTGTACATAAAGGTCCCCTAGCATTGTGGGCTGCTTCCTGGGAGACCCCACTCTGATTTTGTCTCACAGGGATCATGGGAAAATCTATGGGGCTTACCTACTAGGATCTTAATTGTAAGGGAGAAGGCAGAAGGGGCTTGTAACAACCAATGCTTGTATCTCAGCAGTCCATATTCCTACCTGCAGCACCCAAATAGTAGTCCCAATCAGTGGCTTTGCTCATCTGCAGAGCCAAGACAGTGGTGCGATCTAATCAAGAAACTTGACAGGGTGCAGGTCTGACTGATTTGGGACCTCAAGCAAAGAGCCTTGCCACCTCTGAGGCCTGATCTCTCCCCTCACCCAGGCAGGGGAGTTGAGTCATAGTCCTGACTACTGTTGAGCATACTTCCCAGACCCACACAATCAGAAATCATGGCCTATTTAATTCTATATAATGTTCTCTATAACTACCTATTGCTACAAATTTAGTAACCCAATTCAGCTCCATATTGAAAGTAGATATAGCAGGACCTACCTGTTCAGAAAGGTCATCAAGAAGACATGACCACTGGTTTGGCCCACAAGCCTGACTACTGTTGAGTGTACTTCCCAGACCCACACAATCAGAAATCATGGCCTATTTAATTCTATATAATGTTCTCTATAACTACCTATTGCTACAAATTTAGTAACCCAATTCAGCTCCATATTGAAAGTAGATATAGCAGGACCTACCTGTTCAGAAAGGTCATCAAGAAGACATGACCACTGGTTTGGCCCACAAGCTGGACCTGGGAAATCTGAGGCTCCCATTCCCTCCACTGTGCTTGGAATATGTGCTCCACTTGCTTTCTCTGTGCTAGAAGCTACCCAATGACACAAACTTGAGATAGAAATGTGGCTATGAGACTATCTGGACTTGGTATGTGACTAAACCCAGTTGAGGGCCCCTATGCATGTGACTGAACCCTTGTATTGGAGCTGCCCAATTCAAGCCTCATAAGTAAGTTCCTTGTTTATTAAACCAGCAACCTATCAATCTGGAGTGATCTGCCTTTTTCTTCAGCCTCTCTCTGCCTCCAGATATGAGGGCCAGTTCCAGATAATATTAAGGAAGCTCTAGAAGAGGCTTCGATCCAACATTAGCACATAGTAGGAACCCAATAAATGTAGAATATATCAATGAGTGATGCTGAAAAGTGTCTAAAATTAATGCGATTTGAGGAAACATAAATCATGTGCTTACTTACTCCATTTCCATTGCATTTTTCTGAACAAGTAAAGAATTCACTTATAGGTATCCTCGATTCTACACATTCACCATTTATACAAACCTAATGGAAAAAAAATTCAAAGTCAGAGTAGTCCAGCTATCTTAACATTACAATCAGTAATTATATAACATAAGACTGTAACGATTCAATACAATTAATCCATCTAAGTACTGCTCGTGCTGCGCTTCACAAATTTTTATATGTTGTATTTTCATTTCCATCTAGTTCAAAATATTTTTCATTTTATCTTGATATTTCTCCTTTGGCACGTGTTATTCAAAGTGTGTTGTTTAATCTCCAAGTATTTTGAGATTTTTCAAGTAAATCTAATGTAAACTGTAGACTTTGGGTGATAATGACATGTCAATGTACATTCATCAATTATAACAAATGTACCACTCTGGTGGGGTTGTGGACAGTGTAGGAGTCTGTGCCCATGCAGGGATAAATGGTATATAGGAAATCCCTGTACTTTTCACAAATTTTGATATGAATATAAAACTTCTCTAAAAAATATAGTCTAGTTTTTAAAAAATGATTCAGGTTTCTAATATCTGGTCTACATGTAAGAAGCTTGGAAGTCGCCGCTCTGTTCTAACAAAAAGCTAAACATATTGAAAAATCAAGAACTCTCCTAGGATCCATAAGAGAAGTGGAGACACGGCAAACCACTTATGCCCAAGACTGGAAAGACATGCAAGTGGACACAAGAAAGTCAGAGGTTAGCAAAGCAGATTCACAAGAAGAAACCACCTTAGGTACCAGCAACATGATAGGAAAGCCTGAACTATGATAAGTGAATTACTGAAGGCTTAGTGTGGATAACTCTGACAATTTAAAACTTCAGAGGAAGTCATGGGGAGCACCCAGAATTTTGGGGGATTTACCTCCAAGAGCTCAATCAAGTTCTCATAATAAATATCAGAGGAAAATCCCCTTGTTGTTTGGCAGGAAGAGGGGAAAAGCAACCATTTTTGAAATAGCAAGAGCACTCTGTTCTTCTTAAGAAGGTCTGCCCTCAGGAGAAATGAGTTAACCAGAGGCTAACCTGATGGGGTTTTATCAGAGCGTTACTGATCTGGGAAAAGGGAAATACCCAATTCCAGTCACTTCTGAACTTTCATGCGGGAAAATGGAAATATCCAACTCCAGCCTTCTCTAGCTGTCCTGTCTGAAAGGAGTAGAAAAAAACCGAGAAACATTTGTAAAATTCACAGTACAGAGGCATGAACTCACTAAAAGACTGAGACCTAATTACAGAACTAAAGAACACTTCTCATCTCCCCACATCTTACCGCCACATTACTAAAGGCCTACTTACTGCAGTTCTTTGAACTGATACATCATAGCCGCTATCAAGAAAAAGTACAAGGCATTCTAAAAAAAAAAAAAAAAAAAAAAAAAAAAAAACTATTTGAAGAAACAAAGCAATCATCAGAATAAGACATGGCAGGGATATTGGAATTATCAGACTAGAAGTTTAAAACAACTGTGATTAATATGGTAAAGAATCTAATAAATGAAGTAGAAAGCATGCAAGAACAATTGCACAATGTAAGAAAAGAGATGGAAAGCCTAAGAACCAAAAATAAATTCCAGAGTGAAAACAACAAAAACAAAAATGAAGAATGGCTTTAATGGGCTTACTAGTTCACTAGAAATAGCTGAAGAAAGGATCTCTGAGCTAGAGGATATACCAATAAAATCTTAAAAAGCTAAAAGGCAAATAGAACACTGACTAAAAAACCCCACAGAATACCAAAGACAGTGTGACAGGAAAAGAAAGAAACAATAATGACTAAGAAAACCCCCGAGTTCATGTCAGACAACAAACCCCAGATCCAGGAAGCTCAGGAAACAAGAAGCAGGATAAATGCCCACCAAAAAAACTACACCTAGGCATATCATGTCCAAACTACAATAAACCAAAGAACTAATCTTGAAAAAAGGCAGAATGTAAAAAAAATCTCACCTATAGAGGAAGAAAGATAAGCATTACATCTGACTTCTCAGAAACCATGCAGTTAGAAGACAGTGGAGTGAAATATTTAGTGTTGACAGAAAAAAAAAACAAACCCTACCAACATAAGTTCTATATACTGTGAAATTACCCTTTCAAAACTGAAGGAGAAATAGACTTCAGATGAATAAAAATTGAGAGAATTTTTTGCTAGTAGAGTGGCCTTAAAAGACATGTTAAAAGAAGTTCTTCAGAGAGAAGGAAAATAATATAGGTCAAAAACTAATAGAGGGTACAACACCAAGAGTGGGTGCTTGTGTAACTATGATGTGTCAATGTGGGTTTATCAATTATAACAAATATACCACTCTGCTGGGAGATATTGAGAAGAGGGAGGCTATGCTTGGGTAGGGGTATATGGGAAATCTACATACTTTCTTCTCAATTTTGCTGTGTACTTAAAACTGCTCTAAAAAAAAAAACAATCTTAAAAATGATTCAGGGCAGGGAAATAGAAGATACAAATGAAACAAGACAAACATAAAAATTGTAACCAAATAACCATTTTTTATTACGATATCCTGATTTCACTGCCCATATCAAAAGTTGGAATAGAAAGAAAATCGACTCAATATAATCAGGATATATATTAAATTTGTATTAAATATGAGCCTAAACATATCTGAGCTTCCTGGAACATCCCTCCTTTAAGGAGGCATTTATGACTCCTAGGCATGAAGAGGAAGCCAATATTAAAAAGACAATATGTTTACCTACATAAACTTCACTTAAACTATAAAACCACTAAAAGTGGCTATTAATATATACATTGCACATATTAAATAATTTATTCTAAATCATCTATCAAGTTAGTAGAAGAGTCAGAATTCAGATCTCTGCACGTCTGTCTTTAAAGTTTACATTTTATACTAAATTATAGTTCCTCATGAACAAAGATCTGGTCAGAAATTAAATGAGACTTTAAAGTAAATTTATGCCCTCCATGTTTTCTCCAGATTTGTGTCAGCCTCAGAAATAACAAATTATAACAACAATCAATAATAATAGCCAACCTTTATTTAACTTTGACTATGTGCTGGACATTGTGCTAAGCACTTTATACTGTTATCTCATTAAATCTTTGCGATAACCCCACAGAGTTAATGCTATGATTATCCCCTTTACATACAGTAGTGGTATCCAACAGTGGTTAGGTAACCAGCAAAATGTCAAAACATAAGATTTGATTCTAAACAGCCAGATATTAACTTGTGCTCTTATCTACTGGGCCACAAAGAGACACAAATTACTAAGTTGGATTTCTTTTTTCTTCAAAAAGAAAAGTGAATTTCCATGCTATAAGACAGCAGCCCCCAATCTTTTGGGCACCAGGGACCAATGCTCCGATGAGAATCTAACACCTAATGATCTGAGGCGGAGCTGAGGTAGTGATGCTAGTGCTGGGGAGCAGCTGCAAACACAGATGAAGCTTCGCTCGCTCACTCACCACTCACCTCCTTCCGTATGGTCCAGTTTCCAACAGGCCACAGAGGACTGGTACTTGTCCATGGCCAGAGGGTTGGAGACCACTGCTATAGAGTACTTAACTACAATGTATTACCAAGATCTATCTCTCCCATCCCCACTTCAGCCTCAAAACACTTGGGAGTTTCCTTGCTCACAACACTGAAATTCTGAAGAGGATCAAACAGTCCTTTTCCCTCTTAATATCTGGAATCAAAGTGAAATTTATTTATTTTGTCCTTATCCAAATACTTAGGGTTACATAGCAATAGAAAATAATCAAAATTTGATAGTTAAATAAGAATATGTATTAAAGAAATAAATATAACTATATTTTTAAAATAAATTTAAATCATTTACCCTCCCAACATCGCATACAGAGCCATTACGGACCACCATTGGATCTCTAAGTGAGCCATGAAGACTGTAGTCTAAAGTTATACATACAACATCTCGTACATATGCATAAATCACAGCAACATTTTCTCGATGGAAAGGAGATCGAAAAGGGTAGGTACAAACTAATCTTCCACATGCAAGTTTACTGCAAAAATAATAAAATTATATGATTATAATACATTAGGCATTTATTAGAAATGCTTCAGATTTGCTTTCTTTGACAAAATAAGAATGGTTCATCATTTATGGCAATGTGTCTAGGGAAAAATATAATACTTTAACACTAACAATTAAGGTAAAAAATATAAAGCCATTGGTGCAAGACTGTCTTTCAAGGCTACTAATGGTCTTTTATTCACTGTGTAGATTTATACAATTATTGTCAATTCACTTAATCAATTCACTTAAACATTTTATATCCATCTATAAGGGAAAATAAAAATAAATAAGTTGTGACCTCTACCTTTAAGAACCTTAAAATTTAATGCAAAATGTGATACAAATCTCATTAAAAGTGCTACAAATGAAATAAATTCTTACAAGAGCTTTAAGATGAGGGCTCATTCTAACTTAGCAGTTAGGAAAAACTTCAAAGAGGATATAACATCTGAGTTAAAGCTTACAAATTTGTAGGATTTCAACAGGCAGAGTAAGGTATTTCTAAACAAAAGTAACAGCATAAGCAAATCAAGGAAGCACAAAACTGCATGCTATGTTTACTAGTCTACAAATTCCATGAGTACAGGGGCCATGTATGATTTGCTAACTAGTAGCTCGCCCAGTATCCAGCACATAGCAGGTTCTTAATAAATGTTTGTTAAAATAAATTAATGGCCAAAATATCAAAGAGCTGGCTCATTAGATGCAGGGAAAAATGAACTTCATTTTACAGACACTGGGCAGTCTTCAGCTTGGGCAAGAAATTGAATGAATGGGGACAGTATTTTTATAAATTAAAATAGCAGGTTCAGAAAGAAAAGGTGCAATAGGTATTATTAGTTTCAATCATGTATTGGATTTAGGAATATAATGGTCATCTACATATATTTAAAAATTAGATGGAAATTTAAGCCTCTAGCATGAGAAAGATGTCAGGGCTAGAGATTTATATTTGAGATTCACTCCCATGCACATGTCGTACTTGGAACCACTGGAATGAATGACACATATTGAAAAAACTAAAGGTAGAATCTTACAGAACATAAGAAAAGTGTCTTTAATATTTGCATAGCTTACTTCCATGTACATATTTTATAGTTGCCTCTTTCCTGACCACAGTTTCCAAATCTATCACCTTGAGATTGTATTTCTTCATAGCAAGCAAATGGAGCATTTTTTGAACCTGTCAAAGTTAAACATATATTTGGATTAAAATGCCCTTTCTTTTCCACCTTATTCCATTTCCTCATATATTATGTCTCCTTTTCCTTTATTACTGTATAATTTTAAAGTTTTCCTAGTATTGTTGTATAAAAAGAGAAAGAATTCAAGTGAAAGGCATTCCTCATGGCTATTCCTCCTTTTGCTTCATTTTCTGTTATTTTCATCACGAAAGATATTATGAGGGGAGAAAAGTTACAGAAGTGTAAATCATGAGAGGGCTCTATGAAAGATAACATAAGAAAACTATACTTGTTCACTTAGATTCTAAATAGGAACTCATAAAAAGCCAGGCCTGTAACAAAATCTCATTGAAGAAACCTCATTGTATCCTCAGGCAGTCTAAAATAAAGAGACCATAATTGTCAACCTATATATTAACCTATTTTTTTCTTCATTACTATATTAGTTGTTTTGTTGTTGTTGTTGTTGTTTTATCACTTTGTAAAAGACTACCAAAATCTTGGCAGCTTACAACGACATCCATTTATAATGTCACTAAGTCAGAAGTCCAGTAAAACACAAGTAATTTCTCTGCTCAAGGTTTCACTAGGCTAAAATAAAGGCTGGAGCTGCAGTCTCATCTGATGCTGGAGTCCTCTTAAAAGCTCACTGATTGTTGGTGTAATTCAGGTTTGTTTGTTTTTGTCAGTCATAGGTCTATTTTCTTACTATCTGCCGGGGGTTAATCTTGGTTCCTAGAAACTCCCCCTCAGATCCTAGTCACATGGCCCTCTCACAATGTGGCAGCTTAGTTTTTCTAAGCCAGTAAAGAAATCTTTCTGACATCCCCCAGCTTTTAAGGAATCACATGATTAGGTCAGGCCCACTCAGAATGATCCTGATTAATTCAAAGTTGATTGATTATAGATCTTAATTACATCTTCAAAATTCCTTCTTTACTATATAATCAAAGTAGGAATGATATTCCATCATATATTCACTGGTTCTTCCCCAATTCAAAAGGGATTATCCAAAGCATGTACACCAAGAGAGTCTTGGGGGCCATCTTAGAACTCTGCCTAGCATAGCTACCTTCTCCAAAATGAACCTTGCTAAGCCTAACTGCTTCATCTATAAAAGTAGATGATAATATCTATCTCAATGGATTGTTATGAGAATTAAGATGATGTTTAGTCACTTTTGATTACCATTTATTTCTCCTCTATATTCTTTTAAGATCAAGAGAATTTCTCCTGCTTATCTGCCCCCCTTCCATGATGTACATTTTTTCCCTATTCTTTTTAATTCTTTATCTTTTCCTAATTCTAAATCTTCCCACCATTTTTAAACACTGGACCTTCAAAGGTGACTGTATAGATACCATGAGGACAGGCAATGTTATTTCTGAGTATTCACAATGTTTAATCATTTCAGTTGTGAATATAAGCCACCCAATTAAAAATGCAAAGTAGGGCTTGTTAGATACTATGGCAATATCCAGGAAAATTCAGAAATTGGATAATTCAGTCCAGTTTGGAAATATAATATAAAAGAATATGTTAGGCACAGAGCAGTCAGATGAATTCTATTGAAAGTGATGTTCTTCATCCAGTCAAATTTTTATTAGTACATCTACTGCATCTAAAGGTACCAAGGAGTCCTATTATTAACTTTTCTCTTGAATACTCTCTGTCTCATTAGTTTAGGGACTTTCAGATCAATCTGGGTTTTCCAGTGTGAGATGAAAACACTAAAAAGGCAATGCTTTCAAATGTGGTCACATGTCAAATATTCTTTTAAATCCAGCATACTGACCAAGTCTACTAAGTAAGAGAATTTGCCCTTCCGTAGTCCAAATAGTATACCTAGATTCCCTGTACCCTACTACCAAATGCTATGAGGTACAATAAAATAGTGGGCATGACCTAATATCTGACTCACCTCATCTCATGACTAATAAGCATTTACAATTTAACATATCCTAAAATCAAATTCTATTTTGCCCTGAGACTTCCTTATTTTAGTTTATGGCACCATTTAGTCAACCAGATGTTCAGGTTAAAATTTAGGAATCATCCTTGATTTCTATTTCCCCCCTCACTATCTGCACCTCTACTACCTAAGTCTTATTGACACTATGTCTTAAATACAGACTGAGCATGATCACTTCTCATCTTCTCCACAGCCACCATTCTAGCCTTTCATCAGTTCTCTCCTAATATGCTACAATAGCCTTCTAATCGACTCCCCACTTCTACTTTTCACTTCCCATGATACATTCTCCATACCATAAATCAGAGTGATCCTTTTTGAAATTAAAAATCATATATATCAGCCTTGTACTTAAATGTCTCTAATAGCTTCCCATTACACGAAAAAAAAAAATCCATTTTTTTTTAGCATGGTCTTTACTCAGTCTGGTTTACTATACTTCAGCCACAGTGTCCTTCTTTTTCTCCTTAAACTCACTAAATTTAATCCCAACTCAGTACCATAACATTTGCTGCAATTCTCTGCCTGAAATGCTCTTTCACAAGGTCATCTCTTGACTAGCTCCTTCTGAGTATTCAAGTTTCTGATCTAATTTCACTTTCATTTGGAAACTGTCTCTGAAGACCCTATATAAAGCAGCCTCATCCTCATTATGACTTTTTGTCCTATTATCATGCATTGTTGTTGCTATTGTTGTTGTTTATGTTTTTTATCATATCATTAACACTAATGAAAATAATTATATTTATTTATTATGTTTTATTATTGTCTGAACCCTTATAACACCACTAATGGAAATAATTACATTTATTTATTTATTTGTTAAATTTATTGGAATGACATTGGTTAATAAAATTATATAGGTTTCAAGTGTACAATTCAATAATACGTCATCTGTATATTGCATTGTATGGTCACTGCCCAAAGTCAGATCTTCCAATACTACATGTATGAATCCCTTTACCCTTATCTACCTCCTCCCCTCTCTCCTTTCTCTCTGGTAACCACTAAACTGTTGTCTGTGTCTATGAGTTTTTATTTATTGGTCTTGTTTGTTTGTTGCTTTTAGTTTAAAAATAAAACATTTATTTACTTACTAACTTTTTTATTGTTTATTAGTTTATTATCAGAAATCTTCATTGGCATATAACCTCTATAAGAATAGGAATCATTTTTTTTGTATGTTCACCACTGGTTTTCCAGTGCTAGAAGAGTGCCTTACCCAATTAAGGTGCTAAATAAATATTTATTGAATGAATGAAAAAATCAACACCTTGAATAACCACATCTCATGATCTAATTTTTTTTATGAAGTTTGACATTCAAAGTCACGTCTCACAACATGAATTATACCTGTTCTATTTGAGGCAACAGAGAATTTTAGAGATTAATATTTGAAATGAACCCCTTAGTGATCTCTTCCAAATTATGTTTCCAATGTTACCTCACTAATTTCATTGAAGTTTATGTTTTGTGTCCTCCTAAATATTCTTTATTGAAGGAGGCAGTTATAATCCTACATTTTTCAAAGAATTTGCAGATAGAACCACTTTAAATTTTCCACAAATGAATTATGAAAGTAGTGATCTTTTCTTCATGGCTTCTAAAACAGCCTTAAAAGTGAAGGAATTAAGAAGTACAAATAGGTAGTTACAAAATAGTCATGGGGATATAAAGTAAAGCACAGGGAATATAGTCAATAATATGGTAATAACTACGTATAGTGTCAGGTTAGTACTACTCAGGGGGATCACTTTGTAAATTATATAAATGTCTAACCACTATTCTGTAATATAATATTTAATGTTAACTGTTTTTGAAAGATTAAAAAGGGGGGAAGTGAAGAATAAGAGGTTCAAATTTCTAGGTATAAAACGAGTCATGGGAATGTAATGTACAGTATAGTCGATAGCATTGTATGGTGTCAGATGGCTGCTGGACTTATCATGGTGATCACTTTTTTAGATATATAAATGTTGAAAAACTATGGTGTACCCCTGAAACTAATATAATATTGCATGTTAGCTATATTTTAATTAAAATCTGTTAAAAAGAGATTATTTCAGATAAATAAGCATAAATTTACTTATAGAATCTGAAGATCCTTGAGCTATATAATTCTTTTCCATCTCCAATAAACTACAGATTACTCCTGTAACTAGCTAAAGTGATGGAGAAATAATCATTTTCAAACAAGTCCAAAAAAATCTATCAAGAATTATGAGAATAAGAAGAGACAGACTAAATGAAATATCACTAATTACATTGACCTTGGAGGAAAAAATATAGGTAAAGTTTATCTCTTTCTTGTTTTCATTTATGTTTATACTCCAGTTTCATTTTTCTATCTCATTCAGGCCCATCTTTCTCAAAAACACAGCTGCCAAAAACTCTGGAGTTTTATGTATGATAGTTCTAAGTTCTCAGAGAGAAAATACTCTGTTCAACTATCTGAAATTCCCAGAAAAGACTCAGAGCCTCCCTGATTCCCTTAGCATGAGCCAGATGCTCACATCAAGAACTACCAACTGTAGCAAGGTTGGAGAATTCTGAATGGACTGGGTCTGGCTAGGTACCCAGTACAATCAAACAAATTAGGGGTATAAGGCCATAGTGTACTAATAGGATATTTCCCACAGTAACAATGTGGATATTGGGCAGTGCCTAGAAAGTGGTAAAAAGAAATAAAAAATCTTATCTGACTCCTCTACAGATAAAGATAAATCTAGAAATTTATTGTAAAATCTTGCCTCTTCTCACCAATGAAATAGCTTATGATGCTCTGACCCATACTGATCTCTGCCTTCTCTATATAAACTGTGATATTCCAGGCAAACATGAGTACTGCAAAGAGTATCCTGGTACCATAACCTCAACTTTGACTAATGCTGAGTTAAAAAGAAAGAAAAGATAGCACCTAAACTTACAACTGTTCTTTAATATCTATTCTTTCTTCCACTTAGTAATAGAACCCTCTTATTATTAGCAGGGCACACAGACACCAAGCTTAAAAAAACGTTTCTCAAATTCTCTTGCAACTAGATATGGTTATGTGACTAGGTTCTGAGCAGTGGAATATTAGCAGAAATTATATACAAAACATCAAGTTAATGGCATTAAGTGAAAGCTGGTTACATTTTCATTTCCTCTTTCTTTCATTCTATGGACTGGCAAAAAGAATTTGTTCGGGGAAACTACCTTCTACAAGAAAAACAAGGAATGGTCAAGCGAAAGAAAGACCACAGGTTCTTGAAAAATGTTATAGAGCAAGGCTGCTGAA